AATCGTCGCAACAACAACAGCTGTTTGCACAGGAAACGCTTAGCTCGGCATACGGTCAAGAATTTTCCATCGCTGTTTCAATACTCCAAATGACCTCTCGATCACATTCCTACACGACGAGTGATAGAAATTGAATCGTTCTCGTGCATTGCAAATCTTCATCGTCCGCCTTTCGACACCGTACGGAACTCTTGAAAATGACATCGAATATTCGATCCTTTGTACGGCGCCATATAACCCGGTCGGTGTACAAATCTAGAGTCAACGAGATAGTACTTCCCAGGAGCAGGAAAGGGAAAATTAATATCCGAATTATGTATCGCGTTAGCCAAAATGCGACTGTCGTACGTATTCCCTGTATACCCCGGAAGCACGAACGTGAAGCATAAGTTAAAATCGCATGCTGCGAGCACGTTCTGCGTTGGATATCCTTTACGCCCTCTGAAATTCTCTTGTTTGTGATGCGGTAAGACAGCCCTCACTTGCGTACCATCAATAGCTCCAATGCAATCCTGATCACCAGTCAAACATTAATGTGTTTCACGTTTTCGATAGAATGTTGCACTGTGACGAAGAAATATGGACACATATTAGCACATACAAGTAATAGATTTATCATCTTAACCTGGAACAATGGATATACAATAGGGTCCGGATGATGATGTCCGACTCCGTTAGATTTTTTGCATGACAATAGATTTTATATTACGAAAAGGTGATAGAAATGATGGATCACCCACTTAAATTTCCCATGCCCAAGTACAAGTATGATATAGGGGTGCATGCCAAAACATGCAAAAACAGTACGTAAATAGATATTGTTGTACCAACAATTTATAAAAACCAACTGGAAAATCTTTGGCACAGTTTGACACAGAATTCATGATGCATCAGTTAGAAAAAAAACTAAAACCACACAACAATTGCACACAAACGACAGAAGACCGAAACGAATGACTAACCAAGCAAATGTAAATTCTCAACCCTTCAAATAATCCACTACCCATCAAAAGGAAGACGACGTGATGAACCGACTTTACGTTCCTTGTAGTCATCATAAGACCACTTCAACCAACGCATTTTCCTCCCCTCGTCTTTTGCGGCCTTCCATATGTCCCTGTTTCCACGAATCCCTAGGAACGATAAGGCGAACATGAAAAGGTCGCTGGTCTTGTCGACAAGTCCAGTAGCATCGATCTCCGCAATGCAGTCCTCGACCGAAAGATCATTTGAACTATATCTTCGAGTGAACGACTGTAGTTCTGCGGACAAGTCAGCCATTCGATCTACTAAACTTGAGATCGCACGTGCTCCGTATTTTTTTTTGCCCTTTTCCGAATGAGATGTGGACTTACGCTTGCTACCACTACGCCTGCTCGATCGTGACTTACGTGCAGTTGAATTTCCAATTTTTGGTTCGTCACTGGACGAACTGCTTTCAAGAGGTACTGGTAATCGATCAGCTACTTGGTCGCTCCCATCTTCTTCACCTCCACCAAACCCATGCCATGACAACTTGGTCGGGGTGAAGGCATACTTGCTAGAATCAAAGGTGTCACCAAACAGTCGACTGTACCATCATAAATTTCTCCTACATCCTTCTTTCGAAACCTCTCATACTTGGGGTTCTCCTGCATAACACAAATGACAAAACAATTGTGCATTTACCTACTGGAAAAACACTGCCGTTTACCATGTATTTTAGATGAACGAGTACACGACACAATTCAATTCATGAAGCATTCAGTGGTCCAATAAGACATACAACCATACTATCAAATAAATGCAGTTCTCGGGTGGGAGGTTAACCCCCGATTTGGTGAACGATCAGACCCATATTTCAGTGTGCTCAACATTACAGAATGTATATAGATCGTCAAGACAAAGGTGCAGCCAATGTAGAATCTGAGAAATCAGTAGCAGTCCTATTGGCGTGCATTTTTTACTAATCAGTTTACGACACAACAAAAATTATAATTAAGAAACGATGGGTGCAGAGATCTCGTATCAATAGAACTGGAATGAATCTTTTGTACCTTGATTTTACGATCTCACCACTCGTCATCAACCACAACGCGATTACCGACAGTTTGGTCGTACTCCACACCTGTGCAACGTAGTAGTTCGAACAACAACTTGTAATCAAGACGCATTTGCTGTAGGTGATTTCTCAGTTAGGAGATTGTCCAATTCTTGTTTGCCTTTTGGTTGAAAAGAGATAGAATGCGGTCCCAGCCAGGCTTTATGAAACACTTGCCATGACGATGACCTTCTGCGATAGCCAATTCACATGCAGCCATGAAAATTTGATGCTCCTTTACTGCCCATTTCGCCATTCTACGAATCGGCTCCTCCTGTTGCAAATCGACATGGTCTTCTCCTGGGAGTTGAGATGGGGCGGCTATTGCGTAGCTTTGAAAGGGATAAAACAGTGCATATTATTAGAGACAAAATCGAAGAGGTGGAAACAATAATTGCAGATAGACACGGAGAAAAAAACGTGGTCGTTACCATGTGATGTAGATAGTTATACTGATGCCGGGGAAGCCATCCATTTCGATGAAATTGACTTGTAGCTTGATGTCAGCGGAGGATATGTAAACAATCGGACCAAATTTGTAGTTAATAAATCTGTTGGAAATCATATGGGAAAACCAGTAAGAACATTTTCAATGCAAGTGAAAGCGAGAAAAATAAGGTAACGGACACTTTATACATGTCAGAGATTGACTATTTCTGGCCAAACCGCTTCATCGTCAGAATCGAGAAATGTGTACGACGGAGCTGTAAAATTTTTTAGATGTGAACGTTTTAGGAAACAAATCTTCAATAGTGTGAAGATTTGTGATGTATTTCTTCTTCTCTATCAGCAACGGCTTCAAGAAAAATAGAGATTTCTGGTTGAGGAGAGAGATGCATCAATTGGAGATGTGATGTGGTTGGTGGTGGGGTTCAATAGGTGTTAGGTGAAGTTGTCTACTGTGAGGGGTGTAAGTGGAAATTTGGGGTAAATGTTTGAAATTGGGGAATCTCGTTGTCAGACTCCATCCATTTGTTTATAATATTTTACTGTTTTTTAATTTGATTTTGTTCTTAAAAAATGGCCGGCAAACAGACGCTTAGGGTAAAATGATGTTTCATCCATCGTGATTCTAATTGAAAATAAAATAACTTCAAGTAATTCATCAAAATAAATAACTTACTTATTTTCGAAGTATATCCCCAAAATAATTAAATTAAATAACTTAATCTTATTTTTATTAATGAAATGTTGCTTGTCTACTCAGAATTAACTTTTTAAGCTCCCCTCCCTCATGCTCCAGAGGAATGTTCCAATGATGAATTTAGAAACTCGTTTATCCTTAAATGTTTTGGGTTGGCAAGAATAAAATGGTTGTTGTATCTCTTGACAATGTATGTCAACTGTTTTGATTCATGTCCCCCGCCCTATGTTAGAAAATAATGGCTCTTATTTAACTCGAGAAATTTAATTGATTGGCGCCATTTCTCAGGAGGATTTTTGGAGGTGTCATTTAACTAGTTTCATTAATAACTTCCTTCCATTTTTGGTGAACAGAACGAATGCTGTATGCTGTTGTAGATATGAAGTGAATGGCTATTAGAACAGTTAGTGAGAACCAATCAGGAGATGCAAAGCCTTGAGTCGAGAATTTGCGGGGAAAAGATCCGAGGTATAAATAAGTAATGACACGAAAGTTAACAAGGTCATAACAAAAGCACTGCATATGTTACGAGTTTATGAAAAGCACAGCATATATACATTAGACTCGAAGACTCAAAGCACAGTATATGTTATCTAGCTTCACGAGGATAAGAAAGTGCGTGTCTAATAAGCCTTAGTACCTACAATTCTTACGACCTTCTATAATTATGACTCCTC